GTGTTAGGCTACAGCGGAGAGATCATTCTTGCTAATAGCGATCTGGGAGTTTAGTGCAAAAACACATAATCGCACCGAACAGCCTGGTGAGTTCCAGCCTGGCTTAAAATCACTATTCATTTACGTCTGGGTCTCACGTGCGGGCACCTAAAAAAATTTATGTAAATTTTTTGGTGGAAAAAGGATTTTTGAGGGCTAGACAAGATAGGAAGTTGAAACCCCACAAAGAGCTTCACAAGGCTGCTTAGGAGCAAGATGATGACGGGTTCGACTTCCATCGAAAAGAGGGAACGAACTGCAGAAGGACTGGCTGTCCTAGTAGCGGAGTCGAACTGTCTTCCCACCGTCTGGCAATAGCTCTACTTTCCACAATGCTGTGCCGGTATCTTTCAAAGTCTTTTCCCCTTATTTCGTTTTTTAAACGGAACAAAGTGAATTTTGGAACTAAACTGTTACTGATTTTCATGTAGTCAAGAAATCGCCATGATAATTTCACTCCTTCCAAATTTTACATGTTCTGGTCTCTTCAGTGACTGAAGATTTGCAAATTTGTAGTGTTAAAAGCACACACTCGTTTTATCCATCTGATGCACTCCGCTATCTGTTTCTTCCTACAAGAACCTAATTATTTTCCTCTTCCCCTCAAAGCAAAAGAAATGAACCATCACACTGGCATAACTATTAGTCGTTCGATCATTATATGTTGAGTGTCTGGCAGCAGTAAGTCCATGAATCAAAGGTAGTGGGACACAGAAAAATGAGTACTGAAATTTTTCTGAAAGACCTACCTCGTACATGTCTTTGTGAAGTTACTAGCACGCTTCTTATATTGCTCTTGCTGACTTTATAAGAAAATTTCAAGCGAATGACGGGGTCGTTGGTATTCAAATCCTATAAAATGGAAATGATTTCAGTTCTAGGAATTTTTGAAGCAGATGCATCTACTTCTCAGTTCCAAAAACAGAAGCGTATGTGAGGAAAAGCATCAGAACCAAAACCTGTAAATCATTTTGTATGTAGTCGCATCGTGGTAGCGTTTTCACATTCCGCTCGAGTATCGATATAAAACCAAAATCAACCCAACGATATTCTCTCATTAGGTCAAATACTGCTTTCGCAAATCTTAAATTAGCTAATTCCCATCTTTTTTTAATTAGTAAATTTTCTCTCATCCACTAAATGCATTTTTTCTGTATGTCTCGGAAAACTAGATTTTAAATTCTCTTGCGAGGAATCCTAAAGTTGAAACGACCGAGCAGCCCTGATTCAGAACCGATTCAGGGAATGTTAT